TGAATAGAAGTAGAGTTCATGGCGTATCGAGGGAGGGATTGATCAACGCCGAATTTTCACACATTATCTTTGCGAAGCCAGTCATCAGAGGCGGGGAAATAAGGAGAATGGATGCTGGCACTTTTCCATAGCTTGTTGCCAACCTTCTCTGCCAACTCACACAGGGATGGCAAAACTACGTAACCGCGCCGCAACCTTGTGAACCTTCGATCCTCCATTGCACTCTTGTCGGCTCCTCGGCCCTATCGCAAGTTACGAGAGCATCCTCTGGAACTAACAAGCCTTGGAAAGGACAGGAACTTCGGAAAAAATGAAAACTTCTCGCGCTTTCCGCATCCTCTTCCTACCCGCCTGAAGCTTACTGTGAGTTCCGTTTTTTAACAGAAAGGAATTTTTACACATTTCGAGATGCGCTGCCACCGCTGCGCTATCGCAAGATATGGGGCTACCATAATGCTCCCATATCTTGCGATAGCGTCGGCTCTTCTTTTGTAGAAAACTTCGTTAGGCACCTTTACACAATGCGAAGTTGCAAATGCAGTAAAGCTTTGAAAAAGGAAGATCAAATGTCATGAGTTCAGGAAGAGACAATATAATTTAATTTCAAGTCCTGGTCCCCAGGTCAGGTTGTCCTTATCAGAAACATGTACTCAGTGAAAATTTTCGACAGAGGCTTGTTTATATTTTCGTTTGCAGTTTACCCAACAGCTGACAGGAACTGACATATTTATCTTGTGCGCAGGTTTGTAGGGCAAGGTCAGTCCGTTTCGTTAGTTTACTAGCAGGATTTTTGGGTTAGATTACTTTTTTGACAACGCAGGATTCATATTTCAATGGGGAGGAAGGTTTATGGAGCGTGCACCATTGCTTTGAACGGTAATATAATATTGGATTGGAGCATAATATTCGCCATTAGCTTGTTTTTTCTTTGAGCGTAAATGCGAATCAGTACCAGAGGCGAACCACCTGAAAACCGCTCATCATTATTGAAAGTTACCCTTCTCGCTATTCACAACAAGCATAGATTGTCATTTTCGTTTAAAATTATTACAATGTTAATCCAGTACAGAGCCATAACTGAATAGTATCCAGCGGGCAGAAATTGACGTTCGACAACTAGCTACTTTCGGTAATAGAAGAAGAAAGCGTCAAATTAGTGAAGTAATTTTTGAATCATGCTCTTTTAATCGACCCATAGCCCCCGACGCACCATTTTCGCTCAAAACTAATAACCATATTTATCTCGTACAAAATTGAGAAAAATAACGGTTAATTTTCAGAAAACAACCATAGTTCGGAAGAATATTGGTCGTGTTCGTGATGTGTAAAAGCTGTCACGAAGGAGCATTGTAATACCACTGAAAATCATCCAAAAGTGGAACGGGAGAAGGAAGCAGTAATCAATAATTGCGTGGAAATTGCGAGGATCTCTTCAAGAGAATGTGAAAATATTCTTTCTTCTTCTGGGTTAAAGGCCGATGTCAAACTTTGCGAATCGCGCAACTCTCTAGCGTCCGCGATCGCGCTGCGACGCCAGCCAATTGAGTGATCACGGGCCGCTACGCGACCGCAGACGCTAATGCGAATCGGGCTGCGATTCGCAAAGTCGTAGACATCTTCCGGGAAGGCATTGTTCATAGTTTTGGAACCATCGGAATATTCGAATCTGCGAAAAGAAAAAGATACGTATCGACCAGGTGAATCCGCGCACGCGCGAACGCGGATGCGAAAAGGTTTAGATGCGTATCGACGTAGTAAACCACGCCCTATTAGCGTTGCTAGAGGATTTTCGCACCGCCGTTTCGATGCTGCGATCTCCGATTGACTGATCGATAGACACTAATTCCTTTCAAGAGGATTCGCAGATTCCAATGCGCGATTCGAAGCCCCTCCCATTTTGTGGATCGATACGCACTTCATTCATTTCGCATTTGCGCAGATTCGTTCGGTTCGAGCGTCCTCCTCTCGTGGCGCAAACTATGAACAATGCCTAAGGAAGACGGAAGCAACGAGCAACGCAGTGGCTAAAGGTATCGTGTCACAATCCCTGGATGGAATTATTCCATACGATTATCGCACACGCTTCAATTCCTCCAAGGATATTGACTTGTTTTGGGGTTGTTACCTGCTGTTTTAACGCCGCAGTTTCGCGTTGCGCGAATGTTTCACAAGAATGCTGGGTTGTGAACAAAACTTTCGCCCCAGGCGGGACTAGAACCCGCACCTCTCGCTTTCCGGGCAAGTGCGCTACCAGTTACGCTACCGGGGCACCATTTCATTCCAACTCAGCTTTTCATGGTATGCCGCCTGGGTGCGAAAGTTTTGTTCACAACCCAGCATTCTTGTGAAACATTCCTCCAAGGATAGTTAAGGGTTATCAGACCTTCGAAAGGATACAAATATTGACTTCATATCGAATGACGCTCGCAATTCCAATCACGCCGGACTAGCATTTAGAAGCATTTGCGACTGTGAATTAAATTCTCATGAGACACCAGAGAGAGCCTCATCGGTAACACCACTGTATCCTTTCGTTTCGACCCCATCGACTGTTAAATATAAATAAGCCGCACAATCCAATAGATGTTAAACAGACATACTACGGATACAAAATCTACAGATATAAATAATAAACACAAAAAAATAAAATAAAATAATAAAACAATGAACAGATACTACAGATATAAATAAAAAAATGCCACAGATAACCTAGGTAAGGATGAGTCATTCAGCGCTTTGTGATGCGCCACGCATTTTGCTTTGAATCTGGTGCCATCTTCAATGCGCTTTGGCTTGTACAACGAATGACGGTGGCCAGCTAATGCACACGTCAGTGTTTTTATTCTTCAAAGAAGTCTAGTATAAATTGACCTCTCTAGAGTAATATAGAGAGCTTGGTTGGCCTAAAGAGCGTACGACTCAGGATCTGATCTCAAGACCTTGAAGATATATGTACAGACACTTTAGAAGAGGGAAGAGGGAGGTATCCTAAAGAAAACTACACGCTCGACGGCCACAAATGTTCTGTTCATCTTGCGCTATGACTGCGACAGTAACAGAAATTACACATTCCTCGGAAACATTTCATTGTTGATACAAAACAGAAGTGATTTTGCCGCTTACACTGCAACGCGACTTTAATTGATGTAGAAATCAACTAAGATAGGAACGAATTTATCGTAAACAATAAAGCGAAATTGATCAAATGCACAACCAAGCGTCGAATATGATTGAACCGGTCTCCCTCAAATAGCCAATAGTCGAAATGAAACAGAAACAATCCTTCTTATCTTTGCACAAAGCAGTTACACTAAAGTTTTCAGCCCATCAAATTGATCATAGTTGTACTGGTCGATAAGTACGTACCACGATCCAAAAACAACAATAAAACTTGGATGTGCGCCAACAAAGATCAAGTACCACTCACAATTATGGATAAAGAAGACTTTTAGGACGTTAATAAAGCATAGAAATCTCAACCTCAGCTTCTATACACGCAAAATTACACAACAAGTACTACTGTTTAATCTAGTACAAATAAAATCCCTAAAATGGGACTGTATTAAATATTCGCGAATTACCTAAGATACCAAAGAGTTTAACAGCCAACTGGGTCTTGAACACCTTTTGCAAACCTAAGCTCCACTTTTCAAGCCTACTGCACCACATTGAACGGATTCCTCATTGACAGCGAGGTAGCAGGCTTCGAAGAAAAGGAACATTCGGGTTCAAGGAACACAGGGATCATGCAAAAAGGAAATTAAAGCATAACGTTGAACTTATGTTGAACTCTAAGCTGACCTGAGCCTTCTGTCTGGACAGGAAGACGTTCAGCGGATGCGAGGCGCGAAAACAGAAGGCGGCTTATCGGTCGGAGTATCAGACTTGGTGTATGATGGTATCCATATCTTATGAGATCCCCCTAACTACTAGTGTTGATATAAGAGTACGGAGTGTTAACCTTACTGAAAACTCCTGGACAATCTACACAACAAGTGACTATAGTACAGTACAGTATATAGTACAACATATTAGTCAAGTGAGAAAGGTCAACTGAAAGAAGAAAACAACGGCAAAACGCCAGAGCTTGTCAAAACAACACCATTTGGTCGGACTAGAATAGTCCGAAGAACGACTTTCCTGATTTTGAAGGCGAAATCTGAAAGTGTCACTTAAGTAATTGAAAGGGAAGAAACTTAAGAACAGAAAACATACATGATTCATGAACTTCGCTTGACTAGCAGCAATTACTTCTTCGTAGGCTTTTTCACGTGTTTTCAACTTCTCCTGAATTTCTTTGTCCTCTCGTTTCAACCTTTCAACAGCATCTTCGAACCTTGAAAAAGCCCACATATCAATGAGAAAGAAGCCGCGAAACCATTGAGACTCACTTTTTCTTAGCCTCTGCGTATTCTGTCTGGAACTTCGCCATTTCGGTTTTCTTCGCTAGTAATACCTTCTCCACCTGTAACAATACTCATACTTAAGCCAAAAGAAATATGGTAGAAGCATTAGATGCGCGTTCCGGAATACCTCAATGATTTCCTCGAATGGCCCCATGCTGTCGCCAGAAATTGGCATAAACGTGATGGTGTATCTGAAAACGGGTTGGTGCACGACCACTATAATTGCAGCTAACAATCTTGAAAAAAAAAAACAACAATAGAAAAAATTGAGAGTATAGTTGTGAGAATTCCATTGAAAATATCATTAAAACTACTACATGAAATCAAATTTCAGATAATAATGCACACTTATGGGACTGCATTTCAACCGAGCTAGTCTCCATAAACACAAAAGGATGTGTGCTTCCGTGTATCAAGTAAATGTGCAACTTGAGTTTCAAGAGTATCCAAGTAGTGAAACGCCAACGGTGTGTCCCTAAAACAATAATCAGCATCAGTAATTGCGAACAACATCAACGTAATCGTGCTTTCCAGCCAGTAGGTGTTTAGATACTCAAACTAAACTACTAAAGGTCTAACACCTAGCTACTAAAGGATTCTGCTTTAACTAACCTGTCTTCCATGTGGAACTTCAGCGGTACAAATTCTCCCAGGTTTGCTATGGTAAATGGTAAGCGGAAACACATTCAAGCTTTGGCGTACCCGAGACTTTCTCTTTGGTCTTTCCGACTAAACGTTTCATTTCAACTGCTCCTGTTCATACTCTAATGTGAATGTGTAATTCTGAGCAAAAAAAGTTTAGGAATACGTTGGAGGAAAGTTGAATTAGTGAGAATAAAGCTATGCTGTTATAAACAGCTGCTGACTGTATAACTACGCTGTATATTCCTTGTGGTTCTCTATTCTAGACAGATTAAGTGTAAAAAAAGAGTATGCCGGTCTATAGCTCTGCTCATTCCTTTCTTACTCTTTATAAAATTCTCAAAAGCGACCAAAAAAAAAGCGTGAAATTACTTGAGAACAGCGTTTGCGAACCTGAATCAATCGTACACCTCCTTCCTTGTCAAACAGGACCAGCTTGAACTTGCTCGACGAAGCCGACTTACAAACAATACAAATGCCATGCTGTCTGTACTCTTCCTTCATTTCAATGCTGTAGAACGCTCAGCGCCTGCTGGAACTCAGTTTACCCTTATATCTAGGACACAATTTAGAAATCAAACGTACGGCGCAATGTGGGCGGGGGTCATGGGGGGTTCGGAGAAAGAGTTGTGCTCCGGCGCGCATCTCTTGCTGGCCTCCGCGCGGTGTCGAATACGCTAAGCCCCAAGAAGTCGGCAGGCAACTTTGAGAAGATAGAAATTGTTCGGTGACCCTGGAAGTTCTCCTTCCCTGGAGATTAAGTACCGGTTTTAGCGGAAGGACGAAATGCACACACAGAAGCGCAGAGATCGCGCGCGGCGGCTGGCCCCTGCCGATGCCACATTAGCGACTCACGACCACTGAGTTGAGAATCTCAAAGAAATATGAGAAGAAAAAAACCTGTTTCGTCGATGAGCGTAATGCTTATGTTTCAACCAGGAGCTGCAAGTTGGTCGGGCTTCCACATCACAGGCTGAACCCTCGCAAAGTTGCCTAGCTTGAGCCAATACCTAAAATACGTGTAGGAAATGATTATCTAGCAAGCTGGCTATCCTTGCTCTATGAGATGCAAAAAAAAATCTTTGAGAATCTACAAAGACTTTCGAAGGAAAACTTACTTTTGGCACAATTTGAGTAGGAATTGGAACGCCCAATTTATTGAAAAGAGCTCCAAAAACCCGACCTAAACCATATAAAAGCAGCGTGAGTAATAACTTACAAAGGATTCACAAAATTCCAATACAGTACCTAGCTCCACTCTAATTCGGATACATCGAATCCTTCGAAGTCTAACTGACTAGAGCTAGGCCCGCTCACATCGTACTGCCTACGCTTATTCGGATCGCTGAGGACTGAGTAGGCGATGGAAATCTTCTTGAATTGCTCTTGTGCTAGAATAATCAATTTATATGAGAATGGCGTCAATTAAGAGCTGTAGATTCTCATAAATTAAAATCCATGAATATGAGTCAATCCGTAAATCGTGCACCACAACTATGAAGATGAATCAATTTGATCAGCTGCAAAAGTCATCTGCCTGATTTTCATCCGAGCAATGAACTATGCTGATATTTGCTGAATTATGCTGGGACATTCAATGTTGCTTATCCTATTCCTGTGAGTTGAGTGCAGCCCATTCAATACTTGTGAACTCAAACAGGTAGTCAGGGAAGTCAGGTGACACATGGTTGAATGCTAACCCGATTAAGAGAACGCGAAAGAGGGAATTCATGACGAACAGAATTTATAGGCGGAACCGTGAAGCACTGGTGTAAAACAAAACCACTACCTGCGACAATTTGCACCGCTTCTCGAGAAGGCTGGTGTCAGAGTCCGCGATGCCGTCGCCGATGTCAGACTTTGCGATTGGAGCGATTTTGCACCAATTGCAGGAGCGACGGATCGCTCAGCGATGCGAGCGACGGGAGATTTACGAACTGATGGCGCCGAATTATCGGTGGTCGGCGGTGTAAATCTCCCGTCGCTCGCATCGCTCAAGCGATCCGTCGCTCCTGCAATTGGTGCAAAATCGCTCCAATCGCAAAGTCTGACATCGGCCACTATCAAGCAGAAGTAAAGGACGGCAGGGTATGGCAGAACACCTATGCACCCATTGCATCGCCGCACTTGTTATTCCGTGACCCGTCGCGTGAATCGGCGTGATTCGCCAATTGCATAATGATCAACGCGGAAACCATGTGAGGATCGGGACGCCTGACACCAGTATTGTTCGCCGAAGACCGAACTTATTCTACTGATAGACACGTGGTTTCACCTGCTAACTCAATATTTTTCTGCCTTTCCATCACCCTTGCGAGATCCTCCCTGGGTCTTTAGCTTATAATACCGGTACAGGATAAGCCTCCCCAATCCCTTGCTTGATCGATGTGCATGTCATGAGAAGACTGTTAGAGAATAGGTCTTGATGATCAGTAATGACAGTTGCCACTTGCATCTCTAATTTGAAGGCGGAGTTTATGACTAAAAGGCAGCCCATTAGAATCAATGCACAGGTAGAGTCTGTGAGTGTCGGGACGAGGAAAAAACCATGAGAAATGGGATCCCTAGCTTGCCCGTTGATTTTCGCACTGATGCGATAATAATCGGAGCTCCACTTTTCAACGCTAACGCTCTCTCCGTCCGGCTAAGGGCCTGCAACGAGTGGTTAGCCAGTTGGCGGGGCGTACCGTGGCGACAGCGTCGCGGAGAGGACCATGCTAGGAAGCCAGGGCATATCCCTTCCGAGGAATCGCGTAGCCTTAAAAACCCGCCTGCCTTTCCACCAGGTTAAGTTTCCACTTCCTCGACCTCATCGTGGAATCCTCCTTTAACAAGCCCCAAGATTAGAGTTTTCAGTGGAAAGCACGCAGCCAGTGAAAGCGTTAAGTTCGCGTGTACAGACATCGTGCCATCTTCGCCGTCCAAAGTGCGAAGTGCGCAGTTAGGGATTTAGATGTAGCAGACTCTCTTCCAATTACCTGAAAAATCCAAGCGCATAGTCATATGCAAAACAAAAGTGGACAAACACCAACCATATCCAATCAATGAACCTACTCCTATACTCAGCCAGCCCAAAAAATACACTGCCTACCCCACCAACCACGACGCCTTCAAAGTACCAAGAACTTGACCGGCTGCTTCTTCCCAGTCCAAATTACGATAAAACACAACAAATATAAAAGGGAGCCGCCTCAGGGACGGAAGAACGACCAATCGAGGATACCGAGAAAGTGACTTATATAATCAGAAGAAAACCAATCTCACCGTGTATATCACCAGGATTTCGGTCCGGATGATACTTGAGGGCTAATTTTCGATAAGCTGCTTTGATTTCAGACTCGCTTGACTTTTTCTCAACGCCGAGAAGCTCATAGTAATCTTCTTGAATGACCTCGGGCGACTTCGGTGGCGACATACCTAGAACACTGCAAGTCGTATAACTTCGTAGTTTACGAATGCATACAGCAAAAAGGCGATCATCTGATGGTGATATCATACACTGAAGAAGGTAGCGATTTCGCAACAAACAAACCATCAGAAAAGATCCACCGACCACATCCCTGCGGTGTTGTGAAGTTTAAAAATGACCACTAAATCAATCTCTTGAAAATTCATAGGAAGGAATGGGTTGTGACTGATCAAGAAAAAATGATGGTGCCAGCAACAAGGAATGAAGAGAGGATTAAATTTTGTGAAATAGAAAGGACGAATTCATGAAATGTAATACTATAACTTCCAAATTTATTACGACAAAAAAATAACCATCAGAGCCCAGAAAATAAAGAGCCGCTTTCCTGTGAGCCTGCAATCGACCTCCAAGACTCAAGTGTAGCAGGAGAAAGGCGTAATCCATAATCTACACCATCTGCATAATAATACAGATTTAAGGCGTAACACGAATGCTGGTTAAGCGGTCTTGATGTGAAGGAACCCAAAAATAATCTGGGAGGCCATACGTACATCTCATCCTGGATATATTGGAATAAGGATGTATCTTTCCAAAACAAAGAACCCGAGTTTTCCTTCTCTACCACTAGCATGCTAATCAAATAAAACGACATATCGTATATACGAATATCCTTCTATTTTATAAAGCGCTAACTTTGTGTGTCGGTTTGTGTATCTGTATGTGTGTGTGTAGTGTGTGTGTGTGTATGTATGTGTGTCCGTCCGCAAAATGAAGTGAGTGAGAAGGAAGCTCATGGGATAAACAAACCGCTAACAAATCGGGTAGCTTACAGGATTTGAGATATCAATGTTTTGTAGCAGGATAGTTGTGATAACACTCTTAGGGCTATATAAACACCTGCTTAGCACACTTCCGTTCATTCCACATGGTGCTGCAGTGGCAGCTGGAGGGCAGTGGAGAGAGGAAGGGAGGATGAGGAAGGGAAGCGAAAAATCTACCGTCATATCATGATTGTGTCCCTTCTACTGTATGAAACACCATTGTGTTGCATACGCGTCACTTCCACGAGGTGTTGGTGTCACAGGAGGAAGGGACCATAGCGGAGGATAGAAAGCTTGCGCAGGAAAGGAAGGTCCCGGCGGTTGACGGGGGACTAATCTGGTATTATATAAAGCGCTAACTTTGTGTGTCGGTTTGTGTATCTGTATGTGTGTATGTATGTATGTGTGTCCGTCCGCAAAATGAAGTGAGTGAGAAGGAAGCTCATGGGATAAACAAACCGCTAACAAATCGGGTAGCTTACAGGATTTGAGATATCAATGTTTTGTAGCAGGATAGTTGTGATAACACTCTTAGGGCTATATAAACACCTGCTTAGCACACTTCCGTTCATTCCACATGGTGCTGCAGTGGCAGCTGGAGGGCAGTGGAGAGAGGAAGGGAGGATGAGGAAGGGAAGCGAAAAATCTACCGTCATATCATGATTGTGTCCCTTCTACTGTATGAAACACCATTGTGTTGCATACGCGTCACTTCCAGGAGGTGTTGGTGTCACAGGAGGAAGGGACCATAGCGGAGGATAGAAAGCTTGCGCAGGAAAGGAAGGTCCCGGCGGTTGACGGGGGACTAATCTGGTATATAAATATGAAGAGACTTGGGAGCTCTTCCGAGCGTAACTAGCGTAAACCAAACCAAGACGTGAGCGGATGCGCAAATGATGTTTTCAATGAGTTTAATGTTATCGTTGAGTGTTCTTGCCATGACGTCAGAAATGCGATAGGGCAACGCGCTTGGTCGAGTACGTCCAAACCAAAAGCTCCGAGCCGAGGTTCCGGTATGGAGCGTACGGAGAGGAAAAAGCAGAATTGTAAGGCCAATTATCACAAATAATCCGTCCAACAACCCAGTTCGGAAAAGAAAAAGTACACCGCGTAAAAAGTGATGGAGTAAAAAAGCTCATCGAATTATTAGTAAAACCTTGGGCGCACGCATAGTCGGTCGTCCGACAGCAACGATCGCAACTGTCTGACTGTCTAACTGCATCTAATCGTCGAATACTCAGGCAAGTCCGACGATCGATACGCATCCAATGCTGTGCGACAGTTACGATCGTTGCTGTCGTCCGACCGACTATGCGTGCGCCCTTCCGGCGGATAAGAAACAGAAGGGAAGTTCCTATGCAATTTTTATCACATCATCAAAGCAAAATTATGTAAATATAACAAGAATACAACTCTCCTGTTTTATTACGTTGAGCAAAAATTAATTTTTTTTCAGGCTCATCACTTTTTGATTTTTTGGTGATTTCCGAACATTGTGATGTAGTCTGAAGCGCGCAATCTCTTCACATTTTGATGTACAACACTTGTGTATTTGCTTCACTCTGGAGCTTACACGCGAGCAAAAAAGATTGCTCATGCTACATGAGTGCAAGTTGAGCTCGAAACCGAATGCTTCTGCATCTGCTCGTAGAATCAATGAAGCCTGGGATGAAGGCACGGTTGCAGAGAGGACTGTTCGAGAGCGTTTGTTGATTACGCATTTATTGTTGTTTTTGTTTGGTTTTGTTAGCAAAACTATGAGTGAAATGAAAACGGCAGATAATTTTTGCTCAACAAAAAATTTTGCAGAAAATATAGGAACCACGGCAGTCACCACGACGTCTTTGAAATGTAATGAATTAAGAACGAAATAAACTGAGCTGAAACTAGTTGAAACGACCAACTGAGGTGTATGTAGGTAGAATTCCTATTGACAATACGGATGAGTCATCATGGAGGCTGGTTGAACATGATGTCAGCCGCCGACGAAGAAATATCGACCTTCCATTTTCGAAGCCCTCTTGCGAAATTGCCTCTTCATTACTCTGATATGCCCGCAAGGACGTCAAGATTATAATGAAGTAAAACGAGTAGTAAATACATTGCTCAGTTTGGTGAGCTCTTCAGAGTAAGTGGGGCAGCCGACTCACACGCAAAGCATAGTCACAGTCTAACTTTTATAATCATGAATACGTTAAAAGAAAACGGTGAACACATTTAACCACTGAATGAAAATTAAGAAGACTATGGGAGTGCATGAGAATTCACCGCTAGCCTAGATCAGAAGTTCTAGATTATCACTATCAAGTCTTTTCCTTCAATACAGCCTATCTGCTTTTTTTCTAGTTTCTTCCATGAATGAAAGCCACTGAAAGAATCGATCGCGCTTTCCTCTAGGTGGAGATGATTTCACGCGTGATCAATCTTGTCTCGAGATAGGAGCCGAGATAAAGAATGGCTGGAGGAGAGTAACCCTTAGAAGGTACGATACGATAAAGAGATACGGCTGCTTGATATAAGGGACACTATAGAGTGAAATTCGGACGATAAGGTTCATTTTAAGGATGCAGCCGTTACAGCCCCTTTTAAGCCCGAATGTAGGTGGTGCTGAGTTCCGGAAACTCGCTCCAGTGCCATATATTACCATTGATGAGCCACAGCCCCTGAAGTGAACTATCGGCTCATTGGGTAGGACTCCCCACAAAGTAACTTAAGGCTGGTGTCAGAGTCCGCGATCCGTCGCAGGTTTCGCTGATTTTCGCGATTTGCGCGATTCACGCGACGGGTCACGGAAATCACAAGTGCCCGATCAATACTGCAAGGTGTTCTCCAATCCTGCCGCCACTTCTGCTTGATAGTGATGGCTGAATGACGACTGCTCATGATTCCACTTGTTTCATATTCAGTGTTTCAAATGTTCAACACTTGCAATTTTTGCGATCCGTCGCGAATCGCGCGCAAATCGCGC